GGTCGTAGTGCCTGAAGGCCCTGGTGGGTGGCTGTCCCTGCCTTCTGTCAGAAGGAGCAGCCTGGGTTTCACAGTCCAGGATGCTGTGCAGGAGGAGAGCAAGGCAGGGTGTGTGCAGCTGGAGGTGGGAGGCTGAGGTGAGGCTGGGGGACTGGCAGAGCAAGGCCCAGACAGTGTTGAGAGCTGCTCTGCAATAGGCTTGGCTCCATCAGGGTACCACCTGGGTAAGCACTGGGACCCCAGGGTGGTGGCTGGTGCTTATGAGTACACATGTGGGGACCCTTGGGGGATTTTTGTCTGCATTGTTCTATGGTGGAAGATGTTCTTTCCCTTCCTCTCTCCCTGTTTTTTTCCTAATACCCCAGCTTTTCATCGGGGTAGTGGAGTCTTATACTTATTTTCATTTGGTTTCACGGATAGTCTCCTCCATATGAGGTTTGCTCTCAGCACAGTGGTGCATGTAGAGATGTCCTCATCCTGGAACTGAGTATAGCAGGGAACAGCAGGCACCAGACTAGGGTACCCATGGTGCCACCTGGGTGCTGAGGAGCACAGCTTGCACTTCATCTTAGAGTCAGTTATAGGTCACCCAGGTCCACTTGTCACCAACAAAACCTACTTTAGTAGAGCTTTGGGAATTTGAGATGTTAGTGCAAGAGGTTTTTCAACCTGAGATCTGTGTTCCCTTCCCACTTTCACTGAGCTCAGAAAGTGATCTGCTTCTCAGCTTGTTTTTATCAGTGCTGGTTCTGGTCCCAGGCTAAGTGGCCTTGAGGATTGTGCAAGAGCTGGCAGGACCATGGGGTGAGGGAGGGAGTGTTGCAGCCAGAGGCCAGAATGGCCTGGATTGTTGGGAACAGGCAGCCTGTTCTTTGAGTCCTTTAGGAATTATCTAGGAACTCAACTCTTGGTAAGAAGGCACACAATACATCTGAAATGTCATTTCTTATGGTTCCCTATATCAGGGCTGCAGGTGAGGTTGGTTGGTACACAGGGAGATTGAACTTCAGTACCACAGGGAGAAATTTGGACTTTTTGATGACCAAGTTTTAATTAGATCCCTGCCCAGCCTTTTCTTGTGGGCCTCCCTCTGTTTTTATACTGGCATCTGGGATTTGCTGAGTCACTGCATGATATCTCTTTTATCTCTGCAGAGCTGCTCTGGCATGTTCTCCTCACCTTTGTGTTGCTAGATCCTTCCAGTGTGCAAACTCAGGCAACAAGGAGTGGAAGAAAAAGGAGACTATTTCTGCAGATAGAGTGATGGGGCCTCTGTGGGTAGGGGAGGAGGGGAGTGCAACAAACAGAATACAAGATTAGAGATATGGAGCCAGGCCTTATCCAGCTTGTCCCACTTACTAGCTGTGTAAGCATGAGGAAGTCGCCTAACCATTCTGCACCTCAGGTACCCTCCTAATAGACGGTGATGGTAGGACCAACCTTTCAGGGCTGTTGTGTGTATTTTTTGAACCTACATTGTACTCTAAAGGTTCATCTACCCCAAATGGTAGTCCTTATTAAAGTAGTGCACTTGTTAAAGGAAATCAATGAGTGACTTTAGCTGAGCTGTGGACCTAAACTGACTGCTGTCTGTGCTCAGCATGTAAGCCCACTTAAAAGGCTGCTCCTGGAGTGGGCTGCTCTAACTCCAGAGGGGCAGCAGCCCTGAGCTCCTGCCTCTCTCCCATTCACAGGGCCTGAAGAAGATCTCTGCCTACATGAAGTCTAGCCACTTCCTCCCAACACCTATGTATTCCAAGATGGCTGCATGGGGCAACAAGTAGGACTCTGCCTGCCAGGACCAGGGGAGGGGATCCATCGCTGCCCTGATGGCCCTGGACCTGGGGCACAGCTAGTGCACTGCCTCAAGGCACCAGTTGTCTCCTTCTTTCCACTCCCTTCTCCTCTGCAAGACCTCATTGGCTCCCTTTCTTCTACCCAAGCCCTTCTCCAATCAGACCTCTGCAAGCTTCAGTTCTCTATCCTTTTTCAGCAAAGTCCCCTGCTCCTCTTTCTCCTCTCTTCCCTGAATCCAGATAGGCCTCTCAGTGTCACAGGAAAGCAGGGAGCTGAAACTCCAAACCTCAGTTCTTGTATTTGGACAAAAGAAAATTTAAAGTCAGACACCAAAAGCCATGCAAGAGAACTGTATTATAAGTGACAATGGAGTGGAAAAGAGATGAAAATGAAGTAAAAGCAAAGTAAGGCACCAGCTGAGAACCCGAAGGGGGTGGCATCTCTGAGCACAGGATGACCAAGGACACAATGTCGTCTCCAAATTTATTACTATTTGCTGTTTACCAAGAGAACTGGGGACCAACTTCTACACTCTTTGCCAATCAGGTGTTCAATTCCTTCACCCAATTCCTGGGTGGTAGAATTTTTGAACTGTCATGGTAGTTATCCTATTTAGGGGGGCTTCATCTGCAAGTCATCTACATCCATGTTAATGTGGGCATTAGAGTCAGTAGCTGGTCAGAAGTTACCTCAGTGCACCTGCACTACTAAAGCAATCTTCCTTCCCAGACAAATAGAGACACCTTTAGCCATACTTCCTAGCTTCCCACCAACCTCAATGGAGTTAGTCCCATTGATTCTATTTTTTTAAACATATTTTTCCATTAGTTCCTTTGCTTCTGTTTTTCTACAAATGAACTACCACCCTTTCCTTTCTCAGCCACTTTGAAGGTAGTTCAAAAAGAACCTAAAATAACTTAATACTTTTGACCTTACCATTCATTTCATTGCTCATTACTGTCTACTACCTAACTCTCAGCTCTGCTTGGAGGAGCATGACTGAGTCCATGCTCCCCTGCACTGCCCCAAACTCCAGTACTACCTGGTGAGCTGGCTCTGGTCCCCAGCATGGCAGCTGCCCAGCCCTGTCTGACCCCAATAAAGCCTGGACCACACTTGCTCTGTATCTGTGTCATTGCCTCTAACCCTTGGGTCTCACTGTGTGGCTGTGGTCAGAGCCTCTTTGTTCTGTTGTCCACAGCAGGAACTGGATTCATGGGGGGTGTTGGGGATGGGTGCTCTGTGTGGTCAGACAGGGTATGAGGTCATTTAAGGTTGTTGCTGTCCCCTCTCCATGTCCCTACGGTCCTCACCATGGGATTCCTATAGAAGGGTGCTCCTTCCATGCCAGGGTTCCTCATCCATGTGGCAGGGAGTAAGGCTCCATAGGCCATGTGCAGCTAGGTGTCATGGTTCAGAGAGGTGCTGGGCTGATGGGAAGGGGCTAAGGAGCCCACAGGTGACCATCTTCTGACCCTTCTCCTGGAAGCGTTCCTGGTCTGGACAGCCCTCCTCTGTGTTCCCAGGACGTTCTCCATGAACACACCCCACTGTGTTGTAGTTGGTGTTGTGGCTGTTGTCACCCCACTCAGTCACAAGCTCATTGAGGAGAGGGCGCAGGGCTTGTTGGACTTTTTATCTCTGATATGTCTGGAAGTGTCTGGTATATAGTCAATGCTCAAGAAATTTGGAAATTGGAAAGGATTATCTCTGAGGAAGCCTTGGCCTGCCTGCATAGCCAGTACTGGGATTTATAGCTCTGGGAACAGCTATTTTAGCCCATGAAGGTGTAGAATAAGATGCAGAAGAGTTTATATATGCAGGTACTGGAGTTTGAGCCAGTAGCTCTCTTTTACCTCAGCACTGAAGAGGCTCTAGCTGTCCTTGGAACAATGTAACCTGAGATATACAGGCCTAGGTCCCTAGACCAACTGAAGCAATGTATGTAGTCAGAATTATTGTATTTTATATCAGGTCACTCTCAAAGAAGCAGGACTCACTGGAGAAGCACGTGATAAGCAGGTTCCCAAAATAGTAGCTAGAGAGAAGGAGTTGGGCCTTGGTAAGAAAGAACCAAGAATTACCTCATAATAGAGAGCAGATCTAAGAAGAGAGTCCTGTTGGCGTTGGTTCAGATGGTTGCTGTCTGCAGTTGTCTCTTGCATAAGAAACAAGGGAGCAATGGGCAAAATGTCAATAGTCACTGTGAATCAAATGATCAATTGAAAAGCTAAAACTGATAAGATGAAAGGGAAGCTAAAAGTTTGTGAAAATGGTAAGATAAAAATTAGTTAAGGGCTGGGGATGTGGCTCAAGAGGTAGCGCGCTCGCCTGGAATGCGCGGGGCGCTGGGTTCGATCCTCAGCACCACATTAAAAAAAAAAAAATGTGTCCACTGAAAACTACAATAAAAAATAAAAATATTATAAAAATTCTCTCTAAAAAAATTAGTTAGGCCAAAAGTTTATTGAATTTTGAAGATGGATCAGATGAAAATAAAAAAGGAACCAGGGTATGTAATCCCAGTGACTCAGGAGGCTGAGGCAGGAGGACCACAAGCTCAAGGCCAGCCGCAGCAACTTGATGAATCCCTCTCTCTAAATAAAAAATAAAAAGGGGGCTGGGGATATGGCTCAAGCCGTAACACGCTCGCCTGGCATGCATGGGGTGCTGGGTTCGATCCTCAGCACCACATAAAAATAAAATAAAAATGTTGTGTTCACTGAAAACAAAAAAGTAAATATTAAAAAATTCTCTCTCTCTCTTAAAAAAAATAAAATAAAAAATAAAAAGGGCTGGGGATGTAACTCAGTGGTAGAGCACCCATGGATTTAATCCTCAGTACTGCAAAAAAGATAAATAAACAAACAAATAAATAAAATACAGTATTGGAAGAATAACACTATGATCAAAGTTGAGAAATTAAAATAGAAAAAAAGATATAAATTTAAATCAGAGGCCATAACTGGTTAATATTTTGACTTAAAGACAATAGATATCTGTCATATTTCCTCAGCTCTGTCATGGTTGTGTAGAAGCAGACATATACCATAAACATAATGAATTAGTGGAGCTGTGTTCAACAGAACTTTACTTATACACACAGGTAACTGCAACCACTGTTTAAAAGGCAGAACCAATACTGGCCCAGGCAAAGAGACTTTACCAAATGGCTCACTACTCCAGAAATATTCAGAGTCAAATTAGTGGAAAAATATGTTTTATTCACAGCCAGATTTGAAGGAAAATGGAAGAAACTTACAATTTTAAAAGTTTTATCTTCGAAATCCCTGAAGTCAAGAAAAGCTTTAAAAGAGTCTGCAGAGAGAGAAAAGTCAGGAAATGTATATAGGTAGATTTAGTTAGCTTGTGCTAACTTGTGAGGGGGCAGTTTCCCTTCTCAGCTTCCTTGGTATCTGTCAGGCCATGGGGGACAGGGACACACAGCCACTCAGCTTCTGTTCTCAGCATGAGGAAGCTGCTCTCCAAATCATACGTGAGGGCAGATTCAGTATTTCATCATCATAGAAATCAAACAACCTCTTTTAAAAATGGGCAAAGGACCTGAATAGACATTTTCCAAAAAGTATATTCAAATGCCAGTAAACATCTAAAAAAATGTTCAATATCACTAATCGTTAGAGAAAGGTACATCAGAACTACCATGAGGTTTTACCTCACACACATTAGGATGACTACTATGAAAATGCAGAAAACAGTAAGTTGTGTGAAGCTGTGAGAAATTGGAACTTTTATTCCCAGTTGGTGGGAATGTACGATAGTACAGCCACTGTGGAAATCAGTATGGCAGTTACTCAAAAAATTAAAAATAGAGAAAGATGGAGCAAATTGGTAGATTGACAGATCCTCTATCAATTGTCTCCTCACAGACACACCAATTTGGACAGCTGCTCACACACCAAACTGTTCACAAGAGTTAAGGAATCTAGGGGAAAGACCATAGAGGTTTTAGCATTATAATAAGAAAAGGTGTATTAAAGAAAGCAACAAGGAAAGGGTTGCCCATGTCACTCCTTCCCCAACTCCAGCAGCATGGAGAAAGATGCCTCTGACTTAGGAGAGAGAGAAGGAATTAAGTCCAGGCCTCACACCTGAAACCCAATGCCAGGTCTGCCATTGTGAAACCTTGGATCTGCAGAGCCCCAATGGTAGTATCTGCAGACTGAGCTGCTAGAACTGTGTTCACCAGGGGGCCAAGGGGCTGCCTCCTTCAACCCTCCTCCAACTGTGGGCAGCAGAGGGTGAGCAAGATTCCACTCACTGGGGAGTAGGGTAGAAAAGCTGCAAAGGGCTTTGCCTGTGCAGTCCTGTTGTGATGAGACCTAGCAGCAGACTGTCGAGAGCCGCCATGAAAAGGAGCTGAGCATGACCCTTAGCCTTGGGCGATGGATGTGTGGAGAAGGCTTTCCTGCTCCAGAAGCAGATGGATCCCCACCTCTGCTCTGCAGGGGAATGAGGCCAATGGGACTGGGCTACACCCCCCTGAAACCCAATCCCTTGCCTCATTAGGGTGGAACTTTCTCAAGTGCCTTCCCCTCAATAATTAGGGCTTCTGGCGTTCTCTCTCTCTTCCCCCCCTCCCTCTCTTGCTTCCCTTGTGGGAGCTGATGAGGAGCCATCGCTGAACCCCAAGAAAAAGATATTTTCTCTGTCTGTGTGAGATTATTATTGTGCCACCCCAATTCATCTGGAGTGACCCTGTCTGATTTCGTCACGTGTTGTGATGGCAGACAAAACCCAAAGGCCCCTATACTCAGGACAGAGCCCACAGATAAAGCCTCTGATCTTTCCCAGTAGGTAGAGATCTATGGTTGGTGGGACAGACTCATGTTTTGGCCTTGATCACTGACAGTCTTGGAATGGGCCTGGAGAAATTCTTCCTTGAGACTAGTAACTCTCTGATGCTGTGAGATTCTGGTGTGATCCAGCTTAGTGTCAACTTCAGAGGTCAAGGGACTACCTTCATCAACACTGTCTCAGTCTCAGGCCACAGTATGAAATAAGACTCCAGTTGCTGGAGTAAGATAAATAGTAAGCACAGCACTTTGCCTGGAACCCAGTGCTGGTGAAATCTAACACTGGGCACGTCCTAAAAGCCACCACCCACAGGCAAGTGCCCATGGATGGGCCTCTGAACCAGCCTGTGTCAGGCAGAGTTGGACTTCTATCCTGATCAGCATCGCAGGTAGCTGGCTGTGGTGATCCTGAGCCATGAGTCCACCGCAGCATAGGCAGCCCATGGTATTGTAGGCCTTGGTCCTTCCCCTGTGTCGTGCAGTGGGCTTAGGTTATGACACAGCATTCTGTCATTGGTGGCCACAGGTGTTACATACAAGCATAAGGCTAGGCCCTCCATGATGATTCTGCCAGAACTAGGCAGAATTTTGCAGTGCTGGACCATAGGCCAGTAGTTGAGAATGAGTCATGTTGGCAGAGCCTGGCCCCACGGAAGGGTTGAGGGGATGAATTTCCCTTTGTTAGATACTCCCCTGCTTCATGCTGAATACACCACCTGTGTATTTGGGACAAATCTGAGCTCCAAACACCCTCTAGTGGTAAACAGCAACAAAACTCCAGCAGTAGACTCAGAGCAAACATAGACTCAGGCCACCATCCAGTGCTGAAATAGTGAAAGTGACTATGGGTGCAGAGAAAATAAGCAGTCTGCTTAGGGTTTCTGGAAAGACAGGCTCAAAGCCAGATTACAAAAAACTGAAATAAATACCTAAGCCTTTAATGTCCAGATGATTGATGCCATACACCAAGATGTATCAAAAACTTTCAGGGAAACATGACCTCACCTAACAGTTAAAGTAAGACACCAGAAACCAACTGTATCAGTAATCAGAATAGGTGAACTAGCTGGGCATGGTGGCGCACGCCTGTAATCCCAACAACTCCGGAGGTTATGGCAGGAGGATCACGAGTTCAAAATCAGCCTCAGCAAAAGCGAGGCACTATGCAACTTAGTGAGACCCTGTCTCTAAATAAAATACAAAACAGGGCTGGCGTCATGGCTCAGCATATGGTTTCCATTTTTTATGTCACCACGTAGTCCCAAATAGCTGCTATACTTCCAACCATTATATCTGCATTCCAAACAGCAGGAAGGAGAAAGAGGATTGGGGATTGTTCCCTCTCTTTTAAGGAAATTTCCTGGAAATGACATATGACACTTCTGCTATCATTGTAGAACTTAATCATATCAGAAATGACATCTTTTGCCTGGGAAGATGGAGATTCTATGACAAAAGAAAATGGGAAGAATGGATATTGAGAGTCAACTAGCAGTGTCCTACCTTGGGGCAGGGGCCTTCTAATATGAGAATTTTTTACTTAAGAAGGATGCATAAAAGTTGTATAAAAGTAAACAAACAGAAATAATCCCAAATGTTGATATTTTGAAAATGACAGACCAAAGCATAATGTTGATGACTTGTAATACACCCTTTATAAAATAGTAAGGGAATAGGAAGTGGAAGCACTAAATAGAAAAATTTAGTCCCTGCCCTCTGGTGATTTACAGTTTAGTGGCAGAAACAGAAAAGTCAGTGAGCCATCCAATGCAGTAGACAAATTGTGCTCATATTTGCAAATGAGCTGGTTTGTTTATTTACAATGCTTGCAGAATGGCCTTCTTTGATTACAAGATTCCAAAGAGATGTTGCTTATAAACCTTTTATACTAAATATTGATACGAGCAAATGAAAGTCACTCCTTGGATTGGCTCTTGTCTCCATCTCTCTGGTGACCCCCCTCTCAGGTTCAGTGTTATCCACTTTATTACTCTACATTTCCTTACTCATGTGGCATGTATGATAAGTGAAATCTCTATTGATGACAAATGGAAACTGGCAGCCATTATCACATTATAATTCAAGGCTTAGAATCAGAGAGCAACAGGGGCCTATCCTGGTGCATTTCAGAGCAACTCTGCCTGTTAATGCTAATTCACACTCCTTACAATCAGATCTGTCTTTTGGCAACCAAGTCTACATCGTGGGGTAGTCTCCAAATCCCTTACTGAAGCAAGTCCTACCTGTGAGAATTAACGGCCACCCTACATTTTCTACATTCCTGCAGTTCCCTTCTCATTTGAAATATAATTTTAGAAGAAAGCTGAGAGGGTTTCAATCACAGTTCAAAAAGAATATCTGCTGATAGAATTGGAAACACTGCACCATATCAGAGAAAATTCAGACCTAATAATTCTACTTTTCTTTCAAACTTCTAACATGACATGTATATTATCCTACTGTTCTATTCTTATTCTATTGAAAACCAGTGAGAACACACAGTAGTTAGCACCTACTAACTTCAAAGTCAAATATATACGTATCCATCTAATTTTTTCTTTTGGATTTAAATCCCACATATGAGTCACCTCTATTTCCATTGAAAATACCATAAGAACATGAAGATCCCATCCATGTTAGTTTTCAAAAGTATTTCAGACACCATATGCCTGTAATCCCAAGTACTTGGGAGACTGAGGTTGGAGGATCAGGAGCTCCAGTCTCCCAACTTAATGAGACTCAAAACCAAAACAAAACCAAACCCCAAAGTATTTCATTCCAATTTAGTCTAAGCAAAGAGTGAACCAGACCATGAAATCAAATAACCCACTTTCTGACCTCAGACTTCTTTGCTGGTCCTCAGAAACTTCCCTGAACCTGAACTTCTGTCCTGATTCCAAACACTTCAACCTGAAATCTGTTTTAAGAACAGGGCATTCCACTTTTCTGTTCTTCCTCCCAACCAGAACAGAAAGGAATTTTTAAAAGTTCCTTGAGGGCATTTAGCACTTACTCAAAGCGCACTCTTTTCTCATTTCAATCCTCATTAGAAGACAGGGATTCAACATATAGTTGTAAGCCTTGCTTTATGTCAGGCTCTATGCAAGCATAAATATAAAAATGTAGTCACTGCTCTCTGGTGACTTACTACTGGCAGAAACAGAGATCTAAAAAAGCAACTGGAGGGGAGGGGACGGGAAGAGGGGAATGGAAGGACAGCAGAATAAAACAGACATATTTTTGCTGTAGGTATATGCGTGACTGCATGACCAATGTAATTCTGCAACCTGTACACTCAGAAAAATGAGAAATTATATCCCATCTGATTCAAATGTATGATATGTCAAGATGCCTGTTAATGCTAATTCATACTCCTTACAATCAGATCTGTCTTTTCACAACTAAGTCGACATTGTGGGGTAGTCTCCAAATCCCTTACTGAAGCAAGTCCTACCTGTGAGAATTAATGGCCACCCTACATTTTCTACACTCCTGCAGTTCCCTTCTCATTTGAAATATAATGAGATTTATAATGTCATGTGTAACTAATTAAAAAAAATTTAAAAAGATTTAAAAAAAGCAACTGGAATTCAATTTTTTAAGTGCTGACACAAGAAAACAATTCTAGGGGAGCAAAGATTTAAAATAAGTGCATTTAAGTTAGCCTGGGAGAGGAGAAGGAATGTCAGTCAGAATAAGCAAAGCTCAGTAGCTTAATATGTGTGTATTCCTTAATTTTCATGCCCCACTGTGGTTATAGGGATCCCTATTCTTCCTAGTCAATTAGACACCAAGATTGATGATGTCTTCAACTTGACACAAGATGCTAGGGTAGTAGCCTCACATAATAAGAGGTGGACATGACAACTTTTGCATTGGTTCCTCAAGTTTTTGCTTGGAAAAAGAGCATAATTTCTATTCATGTTTAATTGGCCAAAGCAAGTCACAAGGCTACACTGAAGTTCAAGAGGATCTGAAGCTTTCCCACAGGAAAAGCAATCAGGAATCATTGGTGACTATCACTAACCACTTTCACAGTGGTTTGATTCTCAAACGTAATTTCTAGGCTTGGGTTAGAAGATGAGTAGGCATTAAGCAAGACCAGGGGTGGAGCATGGAGGGCAGGATTTAAGGGATAGTAAGTACAAAAGTGTGAAAATACAAAAGAGAACATGATGCTTCAGGATAATTTAGTTTTACAAACTTATGTAACATTGATCTGTCCTAAATGTTCTAGAAATATTGACTTAGTGCTCACAACTTATAGGGGAGGATTCACTTATCAGAAAAGATACTGTACACAGGAGGCCACTGATGAGTTGTGGCAGAGCCAGCAGTCCTGGCTCCTCAATCCATACTATGTAACTCTCTGAACCCAGCACTCCAGGGCCAGGGGAGAGGACACATGCCAAAAGATATAGCTGTAAAGGAAGCAGAGGTCAGATTATGAAGGTAAATTGGGGGAAACAGTTATTTTACTGAGGCCTCAGAAGCTATGAATGGTATTTAAGCAGGGGAATGAGAAAATCTTCACATTAGAAAAAGCACTGGTTAACTTTCAATCCTTCCCCTCCCCCTCACTATCTATCTGAACTCCCTAAGTCCCTCTTCGTCAGTTCATTTGAGACACCTGTCCTGCAGCTGAAGGGTAAGGAATGTATATTTCTATATACAGGCCAGGTGTTCTCATAAATCCCTCTAAAGATGACTTTAAAGCAGATTCGTGTCTATATGTATCAGCATCCCCACTCTGCTCATTGAGGCAGTGAAATAACTTCTGCAATTAATTTTTTTTAATCACATAAGTTATTTCCTTTTGGCTTGAAATGCTTTAACCCAGTTGCTTAACATTTGACAATGAATATAATCAAGTTTCCCTAATACTTTGGGGGAACTGCTCCACCAAATTTAATGCACCCATCAAGAGGTGTTTTTCTTAATGAGGCTTTTATAAATCAGTACACTAATTTCTCAATGTTTTCACCTGTGTGCCTGTGGGATAATAGGCTTTTCCCCACCTTGAAAACTGTTCCTTGCTCGAATGCATCCAGTGTGATTGCATTCTTTTCTTGGTCTGTGTTACAAATAGAGTTAAGGGGCTGACTGGGGATTGGGAAACAACCTCTCTTGTGGAAAGGATCTGTGCCTTTCAGTGGCCTTCCCAGCTTTCTGGGTCAATAAGCTTGTTATGGGTAAATGTTAAGTGGATAATCACTAACCTAACACCTAGAAAAAAATTAGAAGATGTACTTTGTCTATTATCTGCAATGCGCATGAAATACATTTTAACCACAGACCTATGCTTTTTAAACTTTTCACTTGAGACTGCTCAACTCTTACCATGCTGCTCTCTCCTGTCACTGTCTTTTCCAGAATTCTTTACACAGAGGATTGCAGGACTGACTTCCTGTTTCCTTGTCTCTTACCCTGTGGTGAAGATTGTAAGATGGTTCCCATAACTTGCCTCCTGGTACTCATGTCTGTGCAATCCCCTCCCCTTGATTGTGGACAGGACCTGTGACTTGCCTCTGATAGAAAAGGATAAAGCAATGTAATGTCAAAGAATCCTGTGTCCTTCTTTCCAGACTTCTTTACTGGCTTTGATGAAACAAGTGGACATGGTGAGCAGCCTTTTGCAAGGAAGGGAAGCTGGTCTCTAGCTGGCAGCCAGCAAGAAACTAAGGTTCTCTGTCCAGCAGTCAACAAAGAACTGAATTCTAACAGCAATCACATAAACTTGGAAGGAGGTCCTCCTCCAATTGATCCTTGAGCTAATGTCATATTCCTGACTGACATTTTGAGTGTAGCTTTGGGATGAAAACAGCTGAGCACCCAATAAAGCTGAGCCAGACTCCTGACCCATAAAAACTGAGATGAAAAATGTCAGCTGCTAAATTTGTGGTAATATCATTATACAACAATAAATAAAATATCCCCTTTTCATTTTTGGTTGTCATCTATTTAGTCCCCAAGGCATGCTCAATTCTTTTAAGTCCAAAAGGTTTCCCTACAGCACACCACTCCCTCATATGCTGCAAATTTATGTGTTATTAGACTGAAGAGAAACTTCTTGTCTTTACACCTCTTATAGCAAAATGTTCCCCATACCTAAAAAGTTGGGCTGGACAAACTATTGCTGGCAGGGGTGGCAGTTGAACATGTCTGTGTTACCCATCTTGAGGCCACCTCCTTACATCATTGGGTCTTATAGTCATCAAGCCCTTTCCCCCTCACTACAGAGAGATCCTTGGCTTCTGGTCCACAGGGGATAGCAATCTGGCCCACAGGTAACTCCTAAGGCTGTAAGAGTTTCTTTGTAAGGACTTCTGACTTTGCTACGTAATGGAATAGTTGATGACAATTCAATTTCCATAGGAATCAGTTACCCTAAGTTTTGTTTCCTTAAAACTAGTTTTGAGGAGCTGGGGATGTGGCTCAAGTGGTAGCGCGTTCGCCTGGCATGTGTGCAGCCCTGGTTCGATCCTCAGAACCACATACAAAGATGTTGTGTCCACCGAAAACTAAAAAATAAAAATATAAAAAAAAAAAAAAGGAAAAAACTAGTTTTGATTATGTAAGTAGGTCATGAATACATCCTCCTAGTTTAAAAAAAAAAAAGGAAAACTTGGCTGCATCTTAGAATTCCCCTTTAGGTTCTACCCCGAAGACTGGGCCTTCCATCCCTTTGTCTGAAGTAAGCCTTGTTATCAGTTTCATTGTTTCCCTCCAGTGCCCAATCACTTACATTGTGTATATATGGAAATACCTCACGTTCTCACTTTCAAAAATGATAAAAGATGTCATGCTGTATATATTAATTTGCAAACTAATTTTGAAATTCAACAATGTGTCTTGAAAATCCTTCCATGTGAGTTCACACACTTCAGTATCATTCTTTAACTGCCACATGGTATTTCACAGGATTAATGGGTATTTACATGATGTCCATGTAATGGACCCATTTAAAATAACTTCTTTCTCCAACTGTTCAGTACATTTCTAATACTTGCTCTCAAGCTTTGATGATTAATTTCTAGACCTTGAACTCAGTTGGGGAGTAAGGGAATATTAATGTTGCAGTGACTAAATTTATATCTTGGTGGTTGTTCACAGATCCTTATTCTCCTTTGGCCTTTACACCCAAGAGAAATTCAGCTGGACACGGGTAACCCAAGAGCTACTTATTGGAAAGAGCAGAGAAGAGTGTAGGCCCCTAGGTATAGGATGGAACAAAACAAGCTGTTTCTCTTGCTCAGCATATACACTTGTTGCCCCACTTGGCCATCTTGTTATTGATGGGCATCTTGAAGAAACGGTCAGACTGCAAGTAGGCAGCTATTTTCTCCAAGGCCTGAAGGGAAAGCACACCAAACTTTATAAAGACCCTTACCTAGCCCAACAGACTCAAACCAAAACAACAATATCCACATGCTGCCTGCCTCCAATTTTTCTCCATTTCTTGTAGACTATGACTTTGGGGTGTAGAAACCCTGCCCAAGACTTGAAAGCACAGAGGTATACAGCCATCAACCTCTTCAGGTAAAAGATGGTATTGGACAAGCATCTACTATAGTGGGACCCTGAGGGCCTAAGGAGCCTGTGAATGTTTCTGTAAGAAAGTTATAGACAGCATTACCTCAAAGCGGCACATGAAAGCCTTCAGATTTGGGAACTCATCCAGGCACTTAGGCTCGAACATACGGTTCTGGTCTAAGACATCATAGGTGAGAAAATCCACAAAGGTAAGCTAGAAGGAGAAAATAAGATGGTTAGGTGTGGGGAGTTCACGAACACCTGCAGAAACAGAAAGCTATCCTCTCCTTTCCTCTACTTCCTACCTTTTCCCCTGCAAACCATGAGTATTTCCCCAGGAACAAGGAGAATAGTTTCAGTTGTCCAGGTAGCTGTTCCAAGTACTGAGGCTTCATTTTTTCCTGGAAGAGAGGGAAAGACAGTGAGAATAGCCACCACCAGCATCTATATAGATAAATTAGAGCACAGGCTAAGAATGGACACTTTGTAGCCCCTTCTCCAGGGATTTCCTTCTCACTGTCTTCACTTCAAGATGGCAGAATGGAAAGAAAAGGTTTGGAAAAGTAGAGGAACCCATATCAGAATTACATGACAAAAACATGCACACCCCCCCCCCAAAAAAAAAAGTTCTATTTCCTATTCTTACAGATTGGGTTGGTGGGAACAACAGTAGAAAGGAAATTTGCTCAGCTGATGCCTGCTGAGAAAACTCACATGATCAGAGTTGTAGCAGAGGCGAATCAGTTGCATGCGGAAATCCATTATTTGGTTCTCCATGATGTCTACTCGAATCTTTTCTTCTTCGGTATCACCACCTGTAGGCCAAATAATAACCACCCTTGAAATCATATACCCCACTGTAAGCAAACAGATTTCTTTCACCAGCCCCACCCAACTCACACATGTTGTGCTTGCGAGCGATGTAGCGCAAGATGGCATTACTCTGGGTGATCTTGTTGTTCCCATCCATGAGATAGGGAAGCTGGAAGGAAAAGGAGAAGCCAAATGGACAATCTCTTTCTTCCGGGGAAGAGGAGACTGACAAGGTGGTAAACAAGAGAGAGAAGATGCTGTGTGAAGAGAAATTAAAAAATTAGGTAGAAGGTAGTAATGGGTTCCACCTGATTCTAGCAAGGGTTCTTAAGTCTATGTATATTGGGTGCATATGTGTATGCCATGAAACCTTTTTCAGAATAAGGTTTTAAAATGCAAATTGCATGTATTTAGGTAATTATAAAACATTTTACAGCAAAATTGTGTTAAAGTAATATGTGCTTATTAATGTAATAGCAAAGGGATGTAATAACCACCGTAATTTTAGTGATGAATATAACATTTGAGATATCCGAAATACATTTATTAGAGCATGAAAATACCTGATTTTTACTAGTGATAAAGTCACAGATGTAGCTAATAACTCACATTGCTTATTACCCTTTTTCACAATGGAGGAATACTTTCGTTAGTAGAAATGAAATGTAATTTTTTTTCTCTAGTTCAAGGATCCTTTTATCTCTTCTATCCGTGTTAAGAACCCCTATTCAGGACCCTCCCAGATCAGAATAGGAAACAGTAAAATGGATATACTTGAAGGCCTTCCCTTCTGCCCACTCCTCTCCCTAGGACACCTACATTAGGAAAGTCCAGGTCTAGCTTGAACTTCACATCCAGCCATTGGCTTCGATCATAGTCAGGAGCTGTGAGAAAGAGAAATGGGACTCAACATCTTTAACAGCCCACCTGATGAGAGAGTGGAAAGATCTAGAAATGACTTAGTTCTAATACTTCTAATACCCAGCTCCCCAAACTTCACCTTTTAGTCTCTGTGAACCATTCGATTAAGTATTAAGAAGGGGTTGGGGCCATGGAGGTAAGGAGAATCCCCAGGTCGATGTAAAGTACGCACTTCTCACACAGCAATGCAAGGAGTTCCCTGGTGATAGGGGCAGATGTCCCACCAGAGTGGAGTGATGCCACTCTGGGCACAGGAAGACAAGGACAGTGGAGGCAGCTTGGCTTAGGGGAATGGTGTATGAGTTCCAAAGTGATATTACCTTCCCCGCAAATGTACCGTTTCTCCTCATAGGATGTATCCGTGAACTCCAGAAGCAGGCGGATCGCATGCGCCAGCTGCAGGAGACAGCCCCCGATCAGCGCTTGCGCGGGTCAGACCCGCGCCCAACCCCCGCCCGCCAACGTTCCCCGGCACAGGGTTGCCAAAGACCCTGTAACCGGCTGGGGGCGGTTGTTAAGCGACCCCCACAGACTGGCGGCCGTTGGGCTCTCCCCGCCGGGCCTAGTGATCCCAGAGGCCGGGCGGGGGTCGTCAGCGTCTGAGGCTGGGCAGCTCAGGTGATGGTATTCGCTGCGAAAGGGCTCCCACCTACAGCTTCTTCTCACAGAGCCGCTGCCCCAGAGCCCTGGCCACTTCCCCGTCTCTGACGGAGCTGCTGGGCAACTGCGAAGGCACTCACCCCGCGAATATCCCAATAACCCAGAACCATAGACGACGTGGACGACATAGCGAAGCAACGTGCGGGGTTTAGAAGACTGGCGGTAAACCGCGACGAGGTTTTATATTCGACGTATCTGGGCGGGGCCAACGTGAGCCGCCCGACTCCGCCCCCGCCCTCGTTCCCGCCCTCCGCATGGCCACAATATCACGCGCATGCGCGACTTCTGCGGGCAGTAGGCCCTCGCGCGCTCTCGCAGGAGACCCGCAGGTGTGCGAAACCTTCGCTTAATGCAGTTGTGCTTCCCCACGCGCGGGAGCCTCACTTCAGTAGTTAATATTGCCAGGGCGGGAAGTGCAACCAGGCAGTAGTTACCCAGGGAGAGTCAGATTCATGGGTGCGGTAGAGGACTAGAACAGTTCGTGATAATTGGACCGGATTCTGACCACCCAGCTGAGTCGCCATCTTTGGCTCCACTGTTAAGCAGCGGGGAAGGACTGGGGAATGAGAGCTTGATGTTAAACCCATTAATTACTTAAATCCATAAAACCGCCAAGTAGGAAGTGATTCAGGGCACAAGACATCACCTAAGATAGTTTGGAGGGAGAGATCTCTTCAGGCCAGGACAGAGGGTGGTTCTAGAAAGGCTTCACGGAGGAGATGGGCATTTGAGCAAGGTTACTGAGGAAGGATAGGCCGTGGGCATTGCCACAAAGGGCACTCCAGGCAGCAGTAGGGCAGAATAAATACGGGAAGGTGGGAAATACATGTGTGTTAGAAGAAACAGCAAGTACTGTCGAGGTAGGCTGGTTTATGAGTGTTGAGGCACAGAGAGAGGGAGGATGGGAAAAGCATGTGGGGGTCAGGTTGTAAAGGGCCTTGACTATGAGAAAGGGAAATTTGAAGTTTTTTTCCTCTGGTCTATGGGGAGTATCTAGATCATACTGTCCAATAGAAATGTAGTGGAAGCCTCACATAGGATTTAAAATATTTGTTTCTGGTAAAAACAGGTGAGTGGATAAATACATTTTATTTAGCCCCAATGTATTAAAGTACTGTAATTTCAGCATATAATTAGTATAATATTATCGAAATGTTTTTATTCTTTGTATTGTCTTCAATACACAGTGTGTATCTTACACTTAAAACTAGTCTCAATTTGAGCCAGCTACCGTTCACCTGCTCAGTAGCCACATGTGGCTCATGACTGCTCTATTGAACAGTGCAGATTTGGAAGCTATGCTGAGGTGAGTGATATTGCCAATGTCCATTAGAGAAATTAATGTAGCTTCTTTGTGTAGTGTGGATTGGAGAAGGAAAGATACTATAATTTTTGCCTTCACTCATTCATGTACCCAGCAATGTTTTTAACATGCCTATCATGGGCAGCACCGTTATAGATGCTAGGGATACAGAACTCAAAAAAATTAGCAAGAATTCCTTCCTCTGAAAGCTTGCATTCTAATGGAGAGAGGCAGAAATAACCAAATACTTAGTGAATATATAATAAGTCAGATAGTGGTGCATGTCCTATGGAGAGAAAACAAAGAGGAATACTGCTGGGAGCCATTAGCCAAGTAGGTATGACAATTTCCTTGCCAGCGTACCCCATGTTGCTGACATGTTGCAGTGACATTGAATGTAAGTGACCTTGCTCAAGGACCAAGGCAGATTAGGGTGTTCCCGGTTTTAAGATAATCGTGTTTAGGGCGTTCCCAGTTTAGGTTTCAGGTTTAAGGTTTAAGATTATTCCTGCTGGGAATAGGGCGTATCCTGCTGCCTGAGTTCCCCTTGAGTTCTCACGGGATTCAGACAGTATATTTTGGAGATAGAAGCCCAGTGGAGGGGGATTTGGGCAGAGAACGTGGATTTGGGCAGAGAACGTGGATTTCCCCAGAACGTGATTGTAGACGGCTGGTGTGAGTTCGGGAATAAAGAGTTGCTGTTTGAATCTACAAGCTGTGTGGTGGCTCGTGATTGTGTGCCCAGCCAGACTGCGGCAGAATACAGCTGGGGAGATAGCTCCGTGGGAGAGTTTTTCGAGCATTCAGTGGGTGCTGAGTTTGATTCCCAATGGTTAGGGCAGGCAGTGGGGGATATTTTAAAGCTGGTTGTGGTGGCACATCCCTGTAATTCTGGAGACTTGGGAGGCTGAGCAGGAGGATCCAAAGTTTGAGGCCAGCCTGGGCAACTTAGCGAGACCCTGTCTCAAAATAAAATTAAAATAAGAGCTGGGGATGTGGTTCAGTGGTAAGTGCACCCCAAGGGTTAACTCCCAGTACTGAAAAGAGAGAGAAGGCAGAGGAGAATAAGAAGGAATAGTGGTGGGGAAAGGTAGGAGAACCCCAGCAGGAAGGGGATTTGTGTTTTTGAAGAACGAATTTTGGTAGGTCTCACTGAGATGTTAACCTTTAAGCACAGACCTGAACAGGTGTGAGATCAAGCTGCTGTGCTGTGGGGGCTGTGGGTGCAGCAGGCTGGGGAGATCTCCAGGCAGAAGGAAGTGGTAAGTACAGGGAATCATTGTACACATAGCATTTCAACAGTGAGACCAAAGAGATTGCCATGGAAGTGAGAGCAGTGGAGAAGAGACGAGATCTGCAGGTTTCGGGGTGCTGTGGCACAACATTTAGAAGCTGGAGAATGATAGAAAGAAGTCTGAAAAGGAGTCTGGCCAGGGAGGCAGGAGGAACACCAAGTGAAGACCCTTGAAGGAGGAAATGAACAACTATGTCTAATGGGATTGCTCGGTCAAGGAAAATGAAGACTGAGAAGTAACAGTTGGATTTAGCAATGTGGGTGTCATGGGGATCTTGATACAGCAAGAGATCTGTGGGAGGTTCCTGCAGTCTTGAGAAGAACTATCCTCTGTGTTTATGCAGTGCTCATGAGAATGTAAAAGGGGTAGAGATTTGTAATAGTGTCAGTGTTGAGCAGGAGAGAGGATTCGTGGGAACTCTATGGAGGAGTGGAAGAGGGGGAGTCTACAGCTACTCTCAGGGTTCCTGTCCGGCCTGCACAGCATGGCCACCTAGAGGTCCAAGCCACTATTCCTCTAGTCTGGGTATGGGAGATCACATTATCTCAACCCTTTAGTTCAGCTAAAGCAAACTTAGGACTTTTTAAAAAGACATTTTGCTAAAAAGGGGGAAAAGTGCAAACATAGGGACGCATGAATTTATAATGCCTGTGTTTCTTTTTTTAATGTTTTTTTATAGTTATAGATGGACAGCATGCCTTTATTTATTTTTAAATGTGGTGCTGAGGATCAAACCCAGTGCCTCACAAATGCTAGGCAAGTGCTCTGCCACTGAGCTACAGCCCTAGCCCAAAGCCTGTATTTCTTTTCCCAAAAGAACAAGGGGGCTAGTCCCAAATTAACTTGAGGTATAAGACTAGCTTTTTTTTTTTTTTTTTGGAATAGCTATGATATGCCAGGCAATAGCACAGGTGTTTCATATATGTTAGGTAATTTATTCCAATCTAAGCATCACAACAACTTTGTAAAGTAAGTGTTATTTTCATTTTATAGGAGGTAAACTGAGGCCTGGAGAGGTTAGGTGAGTCACTTAAGATCCCAAGGATGATCTGGGGTTCAGACTCATGTCTAATACTAACTTGTGGTAGTGCCACTGTATTTGGGCAGCCCATCATTTCACCTCAGTCTTTTCTCTGAAACTTGGGGAACAATGTGTTAAGATACTATTCCTTTTTCAGGGCCTGTAGGGTTTCCCTGTGGCCAGTGCTCCTTCAACTCTATGAGGCCTCAGGGGCAATGGGCCTTGACTCATTCTAAGAAATTAACTTTTTTGGCTATGTTTGTCCTTAACAAGTCAGACCCTAAGGATTTTGCCCTTTTTCTCTTGTGAGGGAATTTTTGCTTTCCTATTCTGTGTTACCACCTACAAGGAATGATTTTCTGAGGCTGGAAAGTTGAGGGAATGACCTAGGCAGTCTAAAAATAGGGCAACTTGGGCCCCAGACAATGTTAAGGTCATAGACAAATTCAGCTGAGAGACTAAGGAACACTTTAAAAACCCTCAAGGTAGACTTGAATTCATAATTGTAGATTAAATCAATTAAAGTAAAACTCTGATTATGTGGAGATAAGTGTTCATACCATGACAGTTTGGAGATTAAAGTAGGTTACTTACATTAAAATATATTGGAAGCTACAGCCAATCCACACTCTTCACCTAATCTTAGAACAGGAACCCAGAAGTGGGATGACTTGGTGGAGTTCACACTGCTGACTGTGGGACTTTCACCTATCAGTTCCTTATGCTCTGTCACTAAAGAGACACTGGGGAGGGAACTTAAGGTTGGCTCATTTAACAGCAGGGGCAAAGTTGCATCGAAAGAGGAAGTTAACAACTTCCTGGAACACCTGCCTTGTTTTAGTTAGTGCTTCTCTGGACCATCAACCAGTGATGGTTAAAACCTGCAGCTGTCACCCTGGTGCTCTTTACTACTTCTGTGCCCTCAGCCGTGCTGGATGCCTTGGTCTCTATTAGGAGACATATACACAGAAGGGTGGGGATGGTGACCATAGCTTCATTTTGGTGTTTGCTTAGAAAGAAGAACTTGGACCATAGCTCTCAAATTCTGATTCCCAGTTCCAGGTTGTAGTGTGAATTCTTTCTCCCATTCAGATCATCTGACCTGGTGACGAATGTAAGGTTGCTGCTGTTTCATACCTCAGATCTTCCTACCTCACAGTCTTTGGCTCCCATAAGGCCCAGAAGAAGCAGCAAGGGAGACATATGACAGACTTGAAGATGCTTTTATTGGGAAGATGAGGGAGTAAACCAACTCCTGACAGGCCTAGTCATAAGTGAGCCAGACTTAGGAAAGAGGTAAAATAAATAGGTAGTAATTGGGGATGATCCCAGCACAGCAAGAAAGGGTACCATTTGCCACAACATCTGGGCCTGTTAATCCTCTTTTCTGTGTGAGCTCTCCAGCTGTGTGGTTTGCTGCAAACTGAGGAGCTGGAAGAGGAATTCTCAGGGTTCTAAAATATCAAATACTCCATCTTGCATAGGAGAGACATCCTTGGTCTTGAAGTGTTTGAGCTGGTGCCTAAGGACTCATCTGAGGGAAGAAAAGAATTCAGATGAGGCTCTGCCAG